TCTATGATACATATGAATGTACTTGCAGGACACTCATATATCTAAGTGTTTAGTTTGTTGGATACATCATACATTGATATAGATACATCAAATTAATGAATTTATTATTTTAAGAGTAATAATTTGAAATTAATCAAATTGCATTACCAAGATATACATGTTTTTATCTTATATTAATAATATTAATGTTTCACATACCTATCACCTTTGGCCAGATAATCCTCCTACCTACAAGTAAGTAATTATCATTATGCTTAATATTTTCCTAGCAGTTGATGGTTTTAAAATGGCTAAGCCTACATTACATGCAATACTATCAAAAAATTATATATAAAAGATTATTGGGCCATGCTGAGTCTCCGTAGTAATTATATATGACTCATATCTTTAGCTAATTTAGCTTTTAATACAGGATGATTCAAGTCAGGTTTTTTAGTTATTGGAATAAGTGAATTCTTACAATCAATTTTGTACATGTATATGCATGTGTGAAGGCACATTACAAAGGAGTACTTAAAGGAAGTTTGGCAACTTAAGGTAAAAATATTTAGTGCAATATCAGAAGGATTAGGGCTTGATCCAGATTACATAGAGAGTTCACTTGGAGTTGAAGGGACTCAAATAATAGCTGCAAATTATTATCCAGCATGTCCTGAGCCTAACAAGACATTGGGACTTGCTCCACATTCAGATCATGGTGGTCTCGCTATTTTAATGGACAATGGCATTCCTGGCTTGCAAATTAAACACAATCAAACATGGTACTCTGTCCCCCATGTCCCTGGCACTTTCATTGTCAATCTAGGAGATTATTTGGAGGTAAATGTCAGTTTTTTTGCTTCCCAATGAACTTAGAAATGAATGATCTTGAGTTCTTGATTTCGCTTGTCTGATTGACCATGGGACAAATAGGTCAAAAGTTCAAGATCGCTCATTTCAAAAGTCGTTTTGGTAAATATCAAAAGAGATTGAATTAAAAAACTGATACGTTACTGATCCTCTCAAATTTAAACATACTGAGTGAATTATATTCTCAGGTATTGAGCAATGGGAAATACAAGAGCGTAGAGCATCGAGCAGTAGTCAATGCGGAGGCGGCTCGGATCTCTATAGCAGTGGGTCATGGCCCAAAAATGGACGCAATAGTTCAACCTGCAAGCCCACTTATCAAAGAAAAGAGTGAAAGCAAGTATCGGCCTATTGTTTACAAGGATTATATTAGAGACCAACAAAGCACTATTAAGAGAGGGAAAAGTGCCTTGCATGAGATAATGAACAACAATATATAGACCATTAATTTTGAGGATACGTCAATTCTTGTAGAGAGATAATAATGTGCGTATAGCCTTCTTTGTTAATGTGCATATTTATTGCTGCTAAAAGCTGTTTTTGTTGTAGTGATTCAAAAAGCTAGGCTTGTGCCTTAGCTTCTTGGTTTGCCAAAGTACATCCTACCCACATGCATTCAACTAAATGCTACTATCGTCTTGTGTAAGTAGTGTTAAACTTTGTGATTATTTAGTCTAAAAACTTAAGTTATCAGTATTAACATTTGTATCCTCTTCCCATTGATGAGATTTAATCAAATTGAACTAAAAAATTCAGTAATTTCAGGAAATAGAGGTTGTTTATTGATGCTAATTCCAAACGCTGAACTCACAATCGAAAGAAAATGATTGAAATATCAAATTGAAAGGTATCAGGTGTACTTGTTGGCAATGCTGAGAAGAGTAGTATAAAGCTGTTGGGGCTTAGACATCATGGTCGCGTGGTCAGACCCCTCGATCACTTTCATTTCATCTGGTGGATTCTTTTCAATCATCATTTGGAAAAATTCCTTCTTCAGAGCTTCATTTTCAGCAGCAACAATGAACACTCGCTTAACTAATCCATATCTTTTGCTTGAAAGTACTATCTCCTTAGAAACATCTTCCGCATTGTATAGATAAAATGGCCTTACTAGTGTAGTGGCCAGCGCCAAATCCTAGGGAAAACCCCAATTTAAATCAGTTCCAAATTGGTTATTAATTTAAATGACAGTACTATTATGATTTGCTTACCTCAATTGGGCTCATATGGTATGCATTAGTTTCCAAGAACTTGGGACCTAGGATGAAGGTGGTTGGAGGATTCTCAGGTCCATTGTGGTATGTAACCCGATTATCAAGTTCACGTATTATTGCATTGATTGTCTATAATGAAGTATCTATAAATTTAGTTTCAAATATGTAAAAAATTTAAACAAATATGGAAAATGGATCGTACCTCAGTGTAGACGATTGATGCACTGATATTTGGACCAGGCATTACACCACTAAGAAATACAGCAACAGAAATCTTTTCAGGGAAGGTTTCCATGGCTTTAGAAATGGCGAGTCCACCAACGCTATGGCCTACAAGAACTATTTTTTCATCAGCAGGAAGTGAAGTCATGAACTCCATTAGCGGACTCAAGTAATCAGAAAAAATTGGGATTTCAAGGGCCTGTTTCGGGTTGATTCCTGAACCACCCAAGTCAAGAGCTGTGACATTATGTCCTGAACATCTTATCAATGCAACAATCTTGTACCAGGACCAGGCTCCATGCCCTAGCGTATGAACAAGCACAAAGTGCTTCTTAGCTTTAGCCTCGCTTTTCTCCATATATATGTTTTTGTTGGCCGGATCTACGTATATATAATAACAACAATAATTATTGAGTTGTGCTACACACTGTCTTAAAAAACTATTTTAACTATGTGAAATGTTTCTTCGGGACTAAACAAGTCTTCCCTGCTAAAGTAACACGGACAACAAAATATAATTACTACAAGACAGGAAGACAAACTATTTGGCTGCTGAGTAAAATTCTTATCTTCCTAATACAGTAGCAAATACTGAATTTTTTGAAGTGGAAAAGGAAAACATTTGTGAGATTTGATCTCAGAAATCTCTACATACTCTAATATCAGTGTGTAACCGTATCACACACTTCGCTAATTCCATAACGTTTTAGTAGTGAAACTAAAACTCATTACTCATCTTCGACTTGAGATCGATTTTTAGTGGAAAATCTCAATAGCTTAGTTCATTGAATACGTAATGTATTGTATTGTTGATACGAGTTCAGACCTTATAAAAAAAGATTACAAGATGACGTTGCACACTAGTTAAACAAACCATGACATTAAAAATATGCAAAACACGACGAGACGACTCTCTAAAAAAGAGTAGATGGGGTAATGTGAAGAAGCCAACCAAGCAGCTTTAAAGTTTTTGATTGCTTCAAAATGCCTTTGAACAATGTTCCTTTTTTTTCTTTCTTTTACTATGTATAATAATTATATTTATTGATATTAGATTACCCATCTCGTACGTTTTCTCTGTTCATTTATTCATTTATAAATAGGACTTAAGAATATGTTTTTAAAAAATTATGCTATTGATAGGTTTGAAAGTCAAATTATATGAATTTTAATCAATATTTTAAGTTTTATTTTTTATTTTATTGATATGAATTTTTTTACAATTTACCCTACTTTTTGTATAATTTCTTACTAGTTAAATTTTAATTTAAAATATTAAAGTAGTCTTATTAAATTTAGCTTCGAAGATAAGTTAAAATTACCTCTTGAAAAATGAAACGTAACGAGTACTCTGAGATGGATGCAGTATATTTTTATGAAAATTGCCTTTAAATATCATTAATAACTAATAGCATAGTGTAAATATTTACTTATATATTATTAGATTTTAAAAGCTAGACTCCATAATTGTTATTTTCATTAATTAATTAATACTAGTAATATATTGAGAAGAGCTTCTGATACTGAAACAAAAAAAAAGGAGAAAAGGAAGAACACCCACAATAAGTCGCTTATTTCAAAGTATTTTTCGTTTTAGTTGACCAAATTACTGCTTTTAACGACATTTGCTCATTCTTTTAGTATTTTGTGTTAAGCTTTTAGATGTAAAAAGTCAAGTATTAGCTCGTTTCTTCACCTCTTTGACTTTTTCGCTATGCACTTCGTCTCAATTTATATGATATAATTTGAATTTTAAAAATCAAACAAGAAATTATTTGATCATAATTAATGCACTTTAAGTATTTTAAATTGTTAATTCTTATGACTTATAATACTTTTATGTAGGTTATAAATCTGTAAATTATTTTTCAAAAACATTAAAAGTTGTATATCCAAATTCACTAGTTAAAATTTAAAAAAATAACTCTCAAAATTCAAATTATATCATATAAATTAGGGGATAAAAGTATTTCTTTTATTTATTTGTATTTATTTTTCTGGTGGGTGATTTTGCGAAAAGGAATTGAAAGACTGAAAAATCAGAGGTTTGTCAAATACATAAATATTTAAGCAACTATTTAAATTATTAGATGAAATAATCATATATTTTAATACAAATCAAAACAGGTAGACCCCTAGATTCGTGCAAGTTTCACCCCCCTTATTATAAAAAAATGTCGTGTAACTTAACCTATAAAAATAAATATAATTAAGTAATTAATTAAAAAATATGCTCTCACTATCAAGTTAAACTTTAGATGAGATGATCACAAAATAAATTTGTACTAACAAGTTTTCAACTATATATAGGAGAGGGAATTGTACTCTTGTAGCTTTTATGGCAAATAATGTTTTTTTTTTTGTTTTGTAAAAGCAGGAAACAACCATTATAGCTAGAATTGGATGAGATGGGAACCTAAATAAGCCACAAAAATATGAAGTGACCAAAATAAGTCACTACTTTAGTAAGTAACTAAAATAAGCTTAGTGAAAGAAAAAAATTCACTTTATCTAATATTCTAAACGTTTTTCGTTAGTCTCATAACGTGTATATTTTAATATATAACGGAACTATTTCCTACACTTTATAAAATGAAACTATTTCTTACACTTTATAAAGTGTAAGTTTTTCTTACACTTTGTAAAGTGGACTTTTTCTTACACTTTATAAAGTGGAAGAAAATCTTACACTTTATAAAAAGTTACTTTACCTTTTTCACTTTCTTCTTCTCCCCTTTCACTGTCATGGCTTCCAAACTTTTTTCAGTTTGAAGATTAACAGTTGATGGTCCCAATCCGACAACTGAAGCGGCCCTACACTAAAAAATCAAAATCTTGAAAGATTGGAGTAGCACAACCCGACAATATAACAATCCGACCCTACAAATTATATAAATTAGGTATTTTTTTCAGGTCATATTTTCATTACTTTAAAATTATGTTGTAATTTGTTATAGGAACTTTTGCTGATGTACTTCATGTACAAATATATGTTAACTAGACCAAAATAGATCAAGTTACGGAAAAAGAAATAGAGGGACGGGGAGAGAAAAAGCTTATAGACAATAAAAAAGAGTAATTTAGCTAAGTGGAGAATATAGTTAAGTAATTACAAACCAATATTGCCAACTTTTGGATCATTATGCAATCATGCAATAAGATTTTTTTAGGCTAAGCATAAACTTTAATGGTAAATACCTAAAAATAAGGTGATTAAACAGAACTAATAAGTTCGAGATTGGTATACAATTGAGAATACTTAAAGAAAATACAGAATGACTTAAGCAAGGGAATACTCACCCATAAACCATAACAGGTATAAGATTTTGTCCTGATTTGGTAACAACAATAAGATTTTCTTATGCTAAGCATAAACTATAATGGTAAATACCTAAAAATAAGGTGATTAAACAGAACTAATAAGTTCGAGATTGGTATACAATTGAGAATACTTAAAGAAAATACAGAATGACTTAAGCAAGGGAATACTCACCCATAAACCATAACAGGTATAAGATCTTGTCCTGATTTGGTAACAGTAGGTTCAAAGCAGTCCTGCATAGAAAGACATATGAGAATTAAGATTGGGCAAGAATCTTGAATTAGGAAAAATTTAACACATTATACAAGGATAAGTTTTAGATATTCAGCTAATGAACAGAGGGATATGTTTTATATATTCAACTGATGAATGAATTTCTTAGAATGTGATTTTATACAAAAAACACAAAGGGTAAATGGAATGACAGTTGAGGTCTAGGGAGGTAGAATGTACGTAGATATTACACCTACCTCATGGAGTTAGAATGTGATTTTATAGTATATTTAAAATTTAATTATAATAGAAACTGTAGATATCAAGAGTTGTGGAATGACAAAAGAGGGAAGATGGAATATAAGTATTTTATACAAGAGCATTCACACCAATACAAAAATATAAAGTAAAAACTTGGTCAGTTGTGCATTCATCATAAAGACTTAGTTAAGACCATACCAAACAGTTTTGGTGCGCTCTGATACCAAACAGTAGCGTGTTTTTGGGTGAAATCTCTTCTTTAATTCTCTAGTTTTGGTGCAATCTTGATTTGTTGTAGCTCGTTGTTTGGCGCTTGTTTTGTGGCCAATTTTGTAACTCTTGGTGTTTATAGTGGAGCTTTTGGTCTTGTGATTTTTTACTCTTCACATCGAAGGGTTTTTCACGTAACTCGTTGTGTCTTGTGTGATTGACTTATTCTTATCTTGTTACTTTAGTTTGGTTGATATATTTGTTGTTCATTCTTAAGAATGTGATTTTATAGTATAATTAAAATTGAATTATAATAGAAACTTTAGATATCAAGAGTTGTGGAATGAAAAAAGAGGGAAGATGGAATATAAGTATTTTATACAAGAGCATTCACACCAATACAAAAATATAAAGTAAAAACTTGGTCAGTTGTGCATTCATCATAAAGACTTAGTTAAGACCATACCTCCAAATGCCACATTAGTAGTAGGAAACGTCAAAAGTGGAGGAAGCTTCAAAATCAAAATCACATCCAAAAAAGAAACATAAAAAAATATGAGATGGAAATAAAAATTGTCTATGTAATCAACTTTCGAAAGAGCCATAACGGACAAATTCAATATGCAATTGAATAGGAGGAAGTGGAAAACAAAAATAAAATAGAGTAGACCAACTTAAAGGACTAATGGACCTAACCCAATAACAGATTGAAGATATCATCTTGGTCCCTTCACACATTACTGAATGAAAAAGAGTAGAACAACTTAAAGGACTAATGGACCTAACCCAATAACATATTGAAGATATCATCTTGGCCCCTTCAAAGATTACTGAATGAAAGGGAAACCTAAAGAGATAGTGCAATAAGAAGTTCCAACCACAAAGTAATGGCAAAAAACAGAGACAAAACAAAGGTTGAAAATAGGAAATCACAAAATGAATTGATCAATTTATCATGCCTACGTTGGTTCGATGAATTGCAATATGCATTCACTAGTTCATGAGTCATCCTAGACATCACTTCAAATACAAGATAATGGTGAAAGTCATCTCATATAAAATAAAGTACAATTTGTTTGAATTCCCTTCCAAATAATAGCACAGTAATAGTATGAGTCTATGAGATGTGAATAAAAATTATATCAGTGTTAGTTGACTTTGTAAAAAATCCCACATCTATTCCATCGTTAATGATATTCTTGGAGGTCATCTTTACCGTCACTATCAAGTCTCAAATTGAAAGCACATGTATGAACATAATGAAGCTTATAAATTGTCAAATTTCAAAGCAAAATAACTTTAAGCCATAAGCCACCAAAATTGCAGTTAGAACATTACTCATTCAAGCCAAAAGCAGTAGCAGCATGTAGTTAATACACTATAGCTTCCACAACTACTATTCTAGCTTATTTCTTGACAAGAATGTGAAAAGTTATTCTCTATAAAAAAAAAAGTGCTCACAGTATCATTATCACAAAGAGGTTACCTGCAAAAATACTCGACTATATCTAGCTTATTAAAGTTATTCTTTGAAGCCTTTTGGCTATTAGAAATATGGATAGAGAAAATATTTTTGGATAAGAAACCTAGAACGTTTCTATTTTATTTTCTTGTGGTTGACTCGACAAATAACACATTGAATTGACTTACTGAAGTTAGAGATTTCTTTAGTTCTCGTACAATTATTCGTTTGAAGATTAGTTCTACGGTTTAATTTGTCAAGATATAATTATATTAAACGAATTAATAGAAATTTTCTTACAGAATATAATGGAGCGTGTTGTGAATCCTGGACCGACTGATCATACACTTCTTCTCTCTCAGCATGAGCATAAATCAGAATTGTTATGGAAAGGTGAGATATCATTTAGTAGCCTTATGAGGACGGTGCACATGAATGATGCTTGGAATTTATTTCGTTTGCATCGACCTCGTGGACGTGTTGAGGAGATCTTACGTAGGTCAGGACTGTATGATGTAGTTTGTGTGGGCAGGAAGCAGTATGATCGTGCGATTGTTACAGCTATGGTTGAGCGTTGGAGGCCAGAGACTCATTGCTTCCACTTACCTTTTGGTGAGGTCACGATTACATTACAGGATGTACAGGTCTTGTTTGGTCCATGGCGTACTTTATTAGAGACACTCACAGGATGCGCCATAGCACCTACTAATATGGATGGTGCGAGCCGGGTGAGGATACATAGCATTACCGGCTACTTGCGAGATCAGTTACAAGTAGATCTAATTAGAGATGCTACTATAGTGGAGCGGGTTGAGAAGATTCTTAGATGTTACATGCTTGTTATATTGGGGCATCTTATTTTCGAACACATCAGGGAACCTTATTAGCATACAATACTTGGCGTTCCTAGATCTCATCCATGACGTATGTAAGTACAATTGAGGCAGTGCAATGTTGGCCTACTTGTACCATGCAATTTTTCTCCTAACAGTGATTTGCAGCTGCCCATAAAAGGTTGTTCAAAGTGACATTTTTGATTATTTTTTTAAAAATTGGCCTTCAAATGTCTTAAAAATGATGAAATTCAAATGGGGCCTACCAATTTGGAGAATTATACACGAATGAGAGTATTCTGTGTTGCCTATCTGATATCAATGCTACACCTCCACGACCCTTGACAATGTGCAAGTGCAAATGATCCAAAAATAAAGTCTATGTCTCTATGCTCTCATTCACAATTATTGCAAATGCCAAAGGTAATATTGAGTCGTTACCATCTGTTGCAATCGCAATCAACAACTTGATATCATATTTTTCATAGACATGTGTTCCGTCAATCGATATAACAGGATGACAAAACACAAACCCATCAATGCATGGTTTAAAAGTCCAGAACACATAGTTGAATACATCTTCAATGACATCGACACGCCGCTCTGTTTTCCATTCAACTATCCAGGATTGAAGTGTTTCAAAGCTTCCATGAACCT